GGTATCAGGGATTGAACTCAGGTCCTTGCACTTTCGAGGCAGGCGGCAGAACCACTGAGCTAAATCTCCAGCTGTGGGTTAGTTTTTATAAGATAATATTACAGGAAATCTAACAATAACAAATTTGTAAAATTTATTCAATTATTTTTCTGTGTGGTATATCTTAAAACATTCAATACACAACATGACATTACAATCTGAACAGTAATATCAAGTCTCTCTCACAATTCTTTCTGCATTATTGTCTTTGAACAACACACTTTATTTACACTGTCATGCTGGCCTTTCCTTTTTTTCTATGGGTGGTATAAATGTCTATCCCCTAAATGCAATGGCAAAGATGTTGACGATGGAGGTCCTGGTTGGCATTTCACCATCCCATATTTTTCAATTTGGTCTATTAGACCTAATCTAAATTGTAAATGGCTTTGAGCTCCCTTGTTTTAAGTAAATAACAAACAAGTTCCATATGGTTTGATCCAGAAGGTGCACGAATATTTTATAATAATATTTTTTCCCTCACTTTTTGATTACAGGATACCGTGTTAGATTTTGGTAAACTCTGTCAACACCACCCATAGAATTATTATAATCATTGACCACTATTAGAATTTTAAAAATTTAACTTGTTCTTTTAAGTGCTAACATTTCTGTATTATGAATAGTTGACAATAAGGACACATCTTTGTCTTTCCATTTCATAACACAGATTTTCCTCTCTGACTTGTTAACATTTCTCCCTTTTTTAGTTTTTTTTTTTTTTTTTTTTTTTTTTTTTTTTTTTTTTTTTTAATCTTTTGGTACTTCCTTCCTGTTTGGTTTCAAGTGTCCCAAACGTGTCTATTTTGTACTATTAAAGATTATCACTGAGTTCTGGAGAGGTATAAAAGTCATATCCATAGTACTCACGATAAATTGTAAATTGTAGCACAAAATTGTAGGTTATTTTTCACAAATAAAATAAACACGAATTAGAAAAATAACCAGAACTTATTATATTTCACCAGAAACAAACATCAAAGGCAAATACAATGTCCTAAATAAAAAGGTATGCAAAAAAATGTAAAACAAATAAATAGATAATCAAATTTATCTCGTGCAAACAAGAATCCACCAGTTAAAATGACACCTGCCCAAGCAACACTTAGTAGGTAAACAAACTTGCTGCCTGAGTGATGCTTGGGGTAAACTGTTAAGTGGTTAACAAATACCAACTTCATTTGTATTTTTGGAGTTACTGCAAATTATGGGCACTATATTAGCTGCAGGTCTCTGATGTCCTAAAGCTGTTCTACTCAGCTTGGAGCAACTGAACCAGTGCAAGAACACAAGACTTCCCCTAAGGGCTAGATTCTGCATCTACTGAACAACAACAACAAAAAAAAGCATATAGCCCTGCCTAGATCACATGGCTGATGCAGCAGAAGTGCTATGACTGTCAATGATTATCCTTAGTTTTCTGAGATGATCACAGTGGAGCTATTCTAATATTCATGACTTTTGGTTTGAACACATGGTGAAAGTAGGTAGGTCCCTTTTAGAAATCATAAAACTCCAACCACCTTCTCTTTCCTTTCATGGAGGACTGGTTTATCCAAAATACTGTGAATTCCTCATACTTACCTTGACTATGGCAGGTCCCATCTCTGTCATAATCATCTTTATTCTCAAAATCCATGTCTTCCGACTTGGGCTCACTTCCTTCAGCAACATATGTAGAGAAACCTTTTTTCCCTTCTGCACTTTCTTTCCAAGCCTCTTTTAAAAGCTCAGGCTTCACTTTAAATGGCTCTGATGGAATAGCAGTGGGCTCCCCTTCCACTGTGGTATTATTGGCTTTGCTTCTGTACAGGACTGGGTTATAAGCCTTGGGTTTCTCCACTTCAAATTCATCATTCCCAAGGTCATGCATCCACCTTTCCATGTGTTTACAGTGGCAATGACAGGATGCTGGAGAAAAGGCCCTCGGTGGTCCAGGAGGCTGGCTCACCACCTCTAGGCTTCCTTTCTTGGCTTCATTCAGATGGAAGCCTTGGGTCTTTTCCCTTGGGACATTACCAGTGGGCTTGGTGAGATGCACAATCTCTGGCTTTTCTCTTGTGCCTGCTGCCATGGCTAAAGTTTCTTCCTCATTTTCATCTTCTTCCTCCTCCTCATCACTCTGGTTCTGACTCAAAATCAACTTACTTTCTAAACTTTTGTTTTCTAATAAATCAATTAATTTCTGATCTGATGAGAGATTTCTTTTAGAGTCACAGACACTGAGACTGCACATATCTACAAACCCACTTTCATTTCTTGTATCCAAGGCAGGGGAAGGTAAGCGTTTGGCTTCTAGCTGCCCTATGCTTTCAGGTCTCTGCCCTGCCTCACTGCAGCAGCGCTCCCTTTCCTTTGAAATAGGTGTCAACGAAGGTTTTCCACTTTTAATGTTCATTTGAGCTACTCCTGCCTCTAAACTATCCATAACAGAGACTGAAGCTATTTCCGCCTCATGGTCACCAGGCTGGCAGCTTGTGTTTTTGCTTGCCAAGATGTTAACAGCATCTTTTCTAGATTCTGTATTGATAACTGGGCATTCCTGAAAAGAGCCTGGCTCTCGGTTGAGCACCTTCTTACCATACATCATGTTCTCCAAGGACTCAGGCAGCAGACTTTCATCATGGTTGATAGAAATAACATCCTGAACTTTGGAAATAAAGTTGTCACAAGTCACATCAGGAAAGCTGCCCCCAGACAGACCAAGATGATCATCTCTGTTTTCAATTTTCACCAGATTCTCAGGTTCACTTTCAAGAGACTCTGAAGTCCTACTCATTTGAGTATAGGTAAGAGATTCATATAATTTGGAGTTGGTCTGGTAAAGACAACAGAGACTGTCTGGTGCCTGAGTATCAGTTCTTTTATGCTGGGCATAGTTTCTGTAGGCATCCAGGAAGGACAGCTGGGGGTCATTCATGATGTAATAGTCAGTGCGGTTAAGCCCATGTTTGGCTGTACCAATGAGGAGGTCTCGATCGTGCTTCCCACACTCCCACCAGACTGGGAGGTAGAGGCTGGGCCTGCAGAGCTGGAGACGCTCATGCAGCTGAGGACACCTGAGTACCTGCTCTCGGACTTTCCTTAACAGTTCAATGCGGTACAGAGTTCTTGCAGCTCGTTCCTCAGTGATGGGTTCAACGTAGATGCTGGCATCAGGGGAACCTGGAGAGAAGGGGAAATGCAGAGCTTATCACTTCACGTGATTTTGAATACTTCCTGACTTGCTGAAGTCCTGCATCTTTGGCCTTACATTTTTTTTTGTACCGGGGATAGAACTCGGGTCCTTGTGCTTGCAAGGCAGGCCACTGAACCACTGAGCTAAATCCCTGGCCCTCTCACTATTTTAAAGAAATTTTTCTTCTCTTGATCGCTAATTGCACTAATTGTCAAAAAGAAAAATTAAAAAAGGTGGAAGACACTGCTTAGTGAAGGAGCACTTGCCTAGCTGGCATCAGGCTCTGGATTCAATCTTCCGTACCATCAAGAAAGACAAAACAAAACAAATACTATATAAATTTGAACTGTCTTCTGTTTTTTTGTTGTTGTTGTTGGTTTTTTTTTTTCTCTTTGGTACCAGGGATTGAACTCGGGTCCTTGTGCTTGCAAGGCAGGCCACCGAACCGCTGAGCTAAATCCCCAGCTACCCTGTCAATTTTAAATGTGTGGGCCTTGTTAAAATTCGAAGCTAAAAGGGAAGAAATAAAAACAAACCAAGTGAGGGTGAAAGAAGAGCAGGAAAACATCAGTTCTGTAAATAATATCAGGTCCCATTTAATAATCATGCTATGAGTTCTGTCTATACTAACTAATTTATAGTTAGGTGTTATATCTAGTTCTCACAGAAATCCTATGAAACATCATCATTCCTGTTTTAAGGATGACAAAATAGGTTCAAATTAGCTACCGTGCTCCAGGGGACAGGACCAGAATGTGAATCTAGACCTTGTCAGAACTAAAGGCCTGGATCTTATCAATGTATAATATCTAGCATACAGTAGCTACAAATAAGAGGCTGACAGGGGGCATAAAGGAAGTTGTTTCAAATTCCTACCAGGATGAGGTTACAGATGAGATCTCTATCTGATCAGGAGATGTTTACATAAAATCCATTTACTTTCTGTAAGTCAATACATGATAAAACACTTAAAGTTACTAATATCTAATATAAGAAAGCTACAAAGGTCAAGTAGGGTAAATCTTGACGTGACTTAAAAACTTTTAACTTTGGAAAAAGTAAATGGTAATTTATAATTTTTTGAGACAGGGTCTCATGATGCAATCCAAGCTGGCCTCAAATTTGCAGTGACCCTCCTGCCTCAGCCTCCTGAGTGCTGGGATTATAGGTGTGGAGCACCAAGCCCAGCTTGTAAGATTTTAATTAGACTGAAGTTATGTTATGTGGGAGAGACACTATTTTAATTGAGGGTGAACCCAATTAAAGGTGCACGAATTTCTAAGAAATTACATGTCTCTATCTGAAAGCCTCAAGTAGCATTTTTTTTTTCAGAGTTAACAACTAAAGTAATTCTGCAATTTGAACACCAGGATTTTCAGTCCGTCCCTCTAACATACTGACAGTTTTCTTACCACCATCTTTCCATGCGGGCAGACGACAAACATTCCGGCACATGGCCACAAAATTATAAAAATAGTGTTCCAGGCTCTCATCTGACTTCTTGTCCAGACGGGAAATGATGCGGAACTGGGTCCAGTCAAAGGTTTTCTTCTCTTGATCATAAACAACACCAAAGGATGATACTGTTCTATAGAAGTCTGCTTGCTCTCTCCTGGTCCACCTTCAGATTTAATCAGAGTGAGAACTGTTTTTATCTTCTTCTGTTTTTTAAAAAGAAATCTGACTATTTATTGAGCATATGCTATAAGAACCCATGAAATCAAGAAAGCTGGTGGAATTAGTTTATGTCACTGTATATTTTTATTTAAATTAAATTCATCTGAGAGGTTTATAACTGAAATAGGCTATGACCTTACTCCCACGGAGAGAACTGCTTTTAAATCTTCAGGACTTCCTTCTGGTATTTACTTCTCTATTTCAAGGTCACGTGTAAAAACTTTGCTAACTCTTGGGTGATTAATTTTAGGAATTAGCTACTTAATTTGCACTTGTAGCAGATAAAGAATTTAAAAATATTATATATGCCTAAATATCTATGACAACATGGAATCACAGAACTCTAGAAGGACTTTTCAGACCATTAAGTTCAATCTCTTCATCTGACAACTAAGGAAATTGGAGCCGAGAAGAGAAGAGAAGAGAAGAGAAGAGAAGAGAAGAGAAGAGAAGAGAAGAAAAGAGAAGAAGAGAAGCGAAGCATCGTCTCAGTGCGTAAGTCCTGACTCCCCATCTCCCACTGGTTCTGTAGATGCGTGGCCCACGCCAGTTTTTCCTGAGACACAAATGTCCTCTAGTCTTTAAATACCATAGGACAAAGATAACGACTTAGGAGGTAGGATAATTACAGGCCACCATAGTCTTACGAGGGGTTTTTCGCCTTCGTGCTCTCCTTCCCTGCTAGGTGGGGGTCGGTGGAAGAGTGAGAAGCAGGGAAGGGGATCTAGTTGTTCTCTCTGCAGCTGTGCCAGGTAAGAGAAACATTCTGTCTGAATTATCAAATTTCAGAACGTTAGAAAGAATACAGTAAATTAGTTGAATTTGCTCTATGGTGTTTCTTTAATTCACGGGATGCTTCACTAAATGGATAAAGAGAAACAAAAATCCCAAAGAATTTCAACTTTGTGATATCATGCTGGTCTACTTTAGCCTTTGCTAGCTTAATTCTTAGATAAGCAAGTAATTACTGGTAATTTATACCTTCCTTCTGGGCTTGTATTTTATATTGACTGCTTTCAAAGGTTTGATAAAAACAGCTTCAATGCTTCAATGAGAGCTTCAGTGCACACTATATCCTTTGTTGCTAGAAATAGGGAGTCTAAAATGGTCTCCTATATGCCAGTGTGGATTTTAAACCATATCCACACAGACTGGGCGGAGGTCTCTGACTTAGGGAAGATGTCAAGTTGGGAAAATCATTAAAGTCCAGAAATTGTGCGCAGAGGTTGTTTCAGACCTCAAACTCCCCAGTTATTATGACAACACTGTCACTGTTGAGGCTGCATTTAATAAATTCTGGAAGCAATGTAACTTTATTTGAGAGCATAAGTGAACTTTTTCCTCAGCTATCAGCTTTACCTTTTGTTATTTTTACCCAGTGAACAGTCCTTTCGGCCCTTGCCTTGGCCTTTACCTCTTCTGGGCTTCTTTGTTGATGAGGTCCATTTCTGAGGTTCTCCTGAACATCTCCTCTTGAACCCAGTATCCTTGGTTACCTGGTCCCAGGATTTCAGGTCGGCAGAGCTCTTTACGGTTGCATCGCTGGTAAATAGTGACCAGACGCCGGAGACGAGCTGTGAGAGCAGATGAAACTGGCCAGGGTGATTTGTCTGGGTCGGAGCTATCCTGGGCTTCAAACATCAGTGAGGTTATTAGTATTTATGTACAGAACTAAAAACAAGAGTTTGATTTTGTTTAAATAAAAACACAGCTACTTAATCAAAGTAGTTATTCCTTTAACAATCAGCCCAGCATAGCAGAAGGACAGCTTTATGTGGTAGTCTACAGCTCAGGAATGAGCATATTCTTTATTGCTTTCTCCACAGAGTACTATGAGTTTCTGTGTAGTTGTTCTTTCCAACTGTCAAAACCTCTGTTAAGTCTGCATTCAGAAAACGCAAATTCTAACTTTTCTAAACCAAACAAAAAAGCAAAAAAATCTAATTTGTTTTTACCTGTTAGATTCCATCCTAATTTAAGACAACATTTTATTTTGCATTTCAATGTCAGGGAGAAGAGGGACAGAGCCATGAGTTACTAGCGGGGGTGTAAAAGGTCAACTTATTTGGCTTTTTAAGAGTATTTGTAAGAATAGCATTTTAATACATATAAACTCCAAGTAACTACAAACTTGAGCTTTACTTTTCCTTGCCTTCAGAAGGACAGTCTCACCTGCCTGGCTGTCATCCTTCTTTTCACCAAAAATGCCTTCAACGCCATCACTGGAATTTTCCTAGGGATAAAGAAAACCACTCCATTAGCAAAACTGAACTTAGAAGAAACCACCTCAAAGGGGCTCCATACAGAAGAATGAGCATGCACAAGTGGCATCCCTGCCTATGGACATCTCACAGACCTGATAAATGCAGCTTGAAAGCAGTTCATGTGAAACAAGTATTTATTTTCCTTGGAATCAGCTTAAGGAATAATGAACTGGCATAGTCTCCCTGGCAATTATATTTTAGCTGTGAATTTAAATATTTGGCTTTATTATTGTCCCTTGCAACTTAATACTGTCATTTTACAAAGAACATATTTGCATTTTTTTTCTCCTTTTTTGCTACCAGGGATTGAACTTAGGTCCTTGCACTTGCATGGCAGGAGGCGGAACTACTGAGCTAAATCCCTGGCCGGCAGTTTTGATTTTTGCTGTGAAAAAGTGTCACACTCATAGTTAGCTTCACAGCAACAGACACTATTTTCATTAAACATGACTGCTCCAGACATGAGACCTGCTGGTGGAAAACCCCAGGAATTTAAAGTTAAAATTACAATTTGAAGCTCCAAGTGAATCTTGTGTAAGATCACAAGCACAGAGCTTGTTCAAATTGGTGTATTTGTCTAGCTGGAGCTAAAAGATCCTTTGACAATCCTGCCTTGGTCTTAGGAATGGAACTTTACAAGATCCTTTACAAGAGCACCATCTGGCCCATATAGGAGACTGGGGGTGGGAAAAAGATCATATTACTTTAAATACTGTAACTTACTGCTTTCCTACTACTGTCATCTTACCTAACTGACTGCACAAAACCACCTTAGGGTTCAAGACTTTGCCACTCTAAAGAACAAGGTTAAAGAGAACAAGAGTCAACAAAGCACAACCTACATTTATTTTTGTGCAGCCCTCAAGTTAAGAATTGTCAAATGTGAGATAATGAAAAGATGGAAATAAAGTGTTTGTAGATGGGGAGGGGAGGAGGGGGTGAAGGGAGGGGAGGGACAAGGGGAAAAAATGCGAACCAAGACTTGTCATGTAGAGGTACAAGATCCCAACAATGAATGTAACTGTACTGTATCCCTAAAATGTACCAATAAACTCAAAGCTGAAAAAAAATTGTTCAACAAGAATTGTTCTTATCTTTTGAAAGTGTTACAAAAAAAGGAAGAAGAATATGTGGACAAAGACTATATGTAGTTCCCTAGCTCAAGGTATTTATTATCTGGTCTTTTACTCAAAGTATTTGCTGCTCTGTAGATGGGAGACCAATACCTTGATACCACAGGAATACACAGATACATATGACTGCCAATAATTACAATTGAAATTACTCTCTTGGGGCCTTGGCACCATGGAAAGAGCTGAAAGAGAAAGCTCTAAAAAGGAACAGAAATTCATTTTCTGAATGAATTTCTCTCTTATGTAGAATGGAGCAAATAGTTACTAACATTACCAAAAACCATATTAAGCATTGTATAAAGTCCTTTATTTGGCTTATCTTGTTTAGTTATGTGAACTAGCTCAGGAGGTAGAAATCATTACAGTCCTCATTTTTACAGGAGCAGAAAACTCGTCCTCACAAAGTTCAGTAATTTGTCAAAGGTCGCATGGCTAGCAAGCGGCACAGCTGGGATTCAAATATAGATAGTTTAATCTGGAAGTCACACTTTCAACGATCAAGCTATCTAAAAAATGGGCAACATGAGAGTCTCAAGTGAAAATGCACTTTGGTGAGTGAAAACATATTTAAAACTCAGGAGCCACAGCTATCTTTTGCCATCTAATGTCTGCGAAGAGTGGAAACTACCATTTTGAAGTGATACTTTAGTGTGTCATCTCATCTTGTCTTACAATTTAAGCAGTTAAACAAAAATAAAAAAACCAGACCAACCCGAAATGCCTCATATATCTTCCTATCAGAGAAAACCTCACTGGATATACTCAAAGTACTCATGAAGATCCTTTCAAAGCTGAAATTTACCAGTATCAGTACTTCCAGGTGAGAAATGTTCTATGGTCAATAAAACAAGGGTGGGTGGTTCCTCATCGTAACACACGATCATCGGATCCCAAGCTCAAGGGTGCAGGCGCCCACCTTGGTGTGAGCTAGGCACAAAGGACACATAGGATTCCTTTCCAGTCCATTTGACAGTTTTTGTTGGTGTACAGTTTAGTAAACATGAATAGGCTTAGGCAAAACTCAAGTATGGAAAGCTCTAGGTATTGGCAACTGTCCTTTTCTGTACTGTGACCTCTCAGCAGTGCTCCCCCTCTGAGAAATGACAGAATGGATAGGAATCACTTTATCAGTGGCTCAAGTGAAAAGGATATGAGAATTTTAATTATTAACTATTAATTAATTGTGGAACTGGGGTTTGAACCCAGAGCCTCCAGAATGCTAGGCATGCACTCTAGTACTGGGCTATAACTGCAGATCTTTTTACTTTGAGAGAAGGCCTTCTTAAAATGCTGAGGCTGACCTTGAACTTGTGATCTTCCTGCCTCAGCCTCCCCAGTTGCTAGGATTATAGGAATGTGTCACCATGCCTCATGTTAACAACCAGTTTAATGTGGGTGATATGCTAGAGCAGTGACAGTTCTGGGCCACAGGAAGTTTGTTGGCATGTAGAAGGCCTTGTATCTGAACTGTGCAGCTTAACATTAAACATCTTAATTTCTGCTTATATGAATCACTGACTCATCTTTAGAAATATGAACCAATCATTTTAGAGCAAAGGACCCCAGAGTGCTGACAACAGAGGGTTAACAAGAAAGAACATGGGTTGGTTACAACACATAATCCTCCCAACTTTGACACACGTGGTTTGGAATCTGACAGTGCACTGCTCTTTTGCCTTGGGAAAATTACTTTAATCTCTTTCAAGTTCATTTCTTTTCCAAAATGGAGACAATAATGCTTACTTTATAGGGGATTGTACGACACAAATCAGTAGAGGCATGGCAAGTATTTAATCAAATGCTGACACAAAGCAAATGTCTGTCCACTGAATGATACCTGAGTCGGAGAAAATCTGAAAAGCAGTCCAACTCCTAGATCATCATTTCATATTTCTATCTTTTAACTAACGTATTTGTTATAAAAAAGGCTTCATAATACAAACTGCAATAATAACAGTCGGAGCGCAGGTCAGTTGTCAGATACTGTACATGGTATTTTATATGCATTTTTTCACTTATTCATTTTAACAACCCTTTTGAGACAGGAGGAAATTGTGGAATAGAGAGGTTGATAATGTGGTTCAAGATTGCAAGTAGTTATTAAATGGTAAGGTGGAAACCAAACCCAAAAGGTCTGACTCCAGAGGATGAGCTCTTAACCCCTGTGCAGAGCTACTGTGATGGATGAAAAAAACCTGAACTGACTCAAGAGCACTGTAATTATTATGTACTGCAAACATGTACTTTAAAAAAATCAATCAGAATGAAGAGAAAGATAAGACAAACCCAAAGTTAAAAAAATTTAATGGATGGTATTGAAACAAAACCCAAAATCAAAACAAAACAAAAGCACTGTTCGTAACTAAAGCAACTAAACTGCATACATGAAGCTCCGTTTTCTTATCTGAAACTAAGCAACTGCCTTGCTTGTGGTGCCTCTTCAGGACTGAATGCTTCCCCTGTTTGGTCTTGACTTGTATGAGGTAATGGGAGTAGCAGTGGCAGGGCATATCAGGTGGGTCCCACAAGCACAGGCAATTTCTTCTATGCTCTTATAAAACCTCAGCAACGATGCAATAGGTTATGAACTGTCTTCTTACAATTAGTCAAACAATGAATGCTTGGTTCTGGGACAATAGTGAAAAAGGTAGAAACTGGAGCCTGGTATAGTATTTATGAGACACAGTCAACATGCAGAGTGCTAAGTACTTTTAAACACAGTGGGAAAATAAGAGTCACCAACTCTGCTAGGCCCAAATCAGGTAGAGGGAAAGACACCTAAGAGGTGCCCTTTGTGCTAGATATTGAAAGTTACACAGGAATTTGCTGGAAGAACATGAGGTCTCTGTGCAGAAACAAGGTTATGAAACTAGAGTCACAAAGACTCTCTGGGGTTTTCATTTTATAGAAAAATCAAAGTATCCTACTTTTGTATAAACTTCACACAGAAAGTAGATATACATCAAATAATACAAATGTGAAATAAAGGATATTTTGGGGGGAGAGGGGTGGTAGTACTAGGATTGAACCAAGGAAGCACTCAACTACATACCCAACCACCCTTTTAATTATTATTATTATTATTTTTTTTTAAGATTTTGAGGCAAGGTTTTACTAAGTTGCCTAGGCTGGCCTCAAACTCATCCTCTTCCTGCCTCAGCCTCTAGAATAGTTGAGATTACAGATGTGCTACATGCCTGGCTTCAAGGATTTTGTTATGGACAGATTGCAGAGTTTAGAGAGGATGTAAGAAACGTTGTTTATGTGTCATGTGATTGTGTGACTGTTTTATTTTTCAGCTACCTAACACTTGAGTTCCTCCTTCTTTACAACGGAGTTTTAACCATCAAGATCAGAAGCCAACTTTCTTCAGGTCCAGAGCCTGAAACTTCACATGGATTTTCTTCAATTCTCTGCTTCTCAAACTTGGGGGATGCAGGGAAACATGTCCTCAAAATATAATTATTTCCCATTGGAATAGTAGTGTCATTGTTACTATTACAGAAATCAAAGCTGGAAAGGCCTAAGTAAATAGCACACATTCTACAGGCTAGAGTCAACAGAGTAAGAGAGAAAGAATGGACAACTCTTGGGTGGTGATTAGGAGAAGAGAGATGACCCTGGTACTGGTGTCATTCTGCTGAAGTGGTATGTAAGCCTCTGGGATCCAGAATCCAGTCTAATAGACACATTTGCACTACTGCTCAAAAGCAAGAGAAGATCTAGTGAAATGTTACTGTGAGATGAAATTTCATTCTGTTTATGCAAAGACTCAGAATCTTAAAAATGAAATGAATACTTTTATTTCTAGGATATGCATGTATCCCAGCTTCTCA